TAGGGTAGGGTAGGGTCGGGTAGGGTAGGGTAGGGTAGGGTAGTGTAAGGGTAGGGTATGGTAGGGTAGGATAGGGTAGGTTAGCGTAGGAGTAGGGTAGGGTAGGGTAGGAGTAGGGTAGGGTAGGGTAGGGTAGGATAGGGTAGGGTAGTGTAAGGGTAGGGTAGGGTAGGGTAGGGTAGGGTAGGGTAGTGTACGGGTAGGGTAGGGTAGGGTAGGGTAGGAGTAGGGTAGGGTAGGGTAAGGGTAGGGTAAGGTAGGGTGGGGTAGGGTAGGGTAGGGTAGGAGTAGGGTAGGGTAGGGTAGGGTAGGTAGGGTAGGGTAGGGTAGGGTAGGTATAGGGTAGGGTAGGGTAGTGGTAAGGTAGGGTAGGGTAGTGTAGTGTAGGGGTAGGGTAGGGTAGGGTATGGTAGGGTAGGGTAGGGTAGTGTAGTGTAGTGTAGTGTAGTGTAGGGGTAGGGTAGGGTAGGGTAGGGTAGGGTAGGGTAGGGTAGGGTAGTGTAGGGGTAGGGTAGGGTAGGGTAGGGTAGGGTAGGGTAGGGTAGGGTTGCGTTCAGTAACATCTTAACTTACAAAGGGCTCGAAGAACTCGCATGCATCACCATCATACTTTACAGTTCAATTAAAAGCAGTTAGGTACCCACTTCTACAAAAATCATACCAATAAAAATGCAAGTTTCTACACCCAAACTAATGCATCCGTTAATCATACATATCAAAACATACAGTTATCGCGTAAACCTGTACCTCTAGTATCTATAAAAAACCGGCGGAGCGCCGCCGTTTTTTTGGCACATATTTATGCATCTTTTTCGCACATGTAAAAATTTCAGACCCAGGGCTTTCAAGGTCACTAGGTCACGTCAAGTGACCTCAGAAAAAAAAAAGTTTCAAACCTCGTCAGAGCTACACCGGCTGAATGATCGCCTTGAAACTTTCAGCGATTTATAAGAGTAAAAGTATGTACAAAATGTTCAGTTCAATTTTTCGACCTCCCCATTATAAGTCAAAGGGAGAAAATTTAAGAGAGTTTAGCGTAGTGAGGAAAATCATCGTGATGATTATGAGCATATTTAATTGACCGAATCCTCAATGTAATCTGAATAAAATGACAAATAGCAAAAATTCGGGTATATTCGATCACAGATCTTTGTCAACCGATACCAGCAGGCGCCACAATTGTAGATGTCAAAATACTTTTTGTTCAGTACACATGCACAACAGTAGATATGTCCTCAGGGAAAAGATTTATGGTTGGTAATTCTAAAAGTCGCAGCAGTCAAACATAATATGTACAGGGAAAAACCTATACACAAGATTAAAGTGCGTGTGTGCCTAAGCATATACGAATTTAAGATGAAACAATACTTGCGGATCAATTAAATGGGCAGCAAGTTACACTCTTACCCTGGACAAAGTTAGGGCACATATAACATTTACACTGTGCGAAACAATTAAATGAGCATATTATACATAAATGAACATTATATACGTAAATGAGCATACATGAGCGTATTATCATACTATGACTTCTCATACCCTGGACAAAGTTAGGGCGCATACAGCATCTATGAAAACGATCTACACAATCACTTTTTAACGTGGTGAGCTCTTGAAAAATGCTAACCTACTTTGGAAGTAGCTGCCAGGAGGTGCTGTTATCGTTAATAGCTGGCATCCTATCGCGGATGGTGATGGATTCAGCAATCCTCCTGTCAGCTTCATCCTTACATTTGCGTACGATGCGTGCTATCAGAGTCGTGTCCGTTGGGGTCAGGTCTGGGTGCTCGTGCGCGAAATGTTCACCCATTGGTGTGCCTAGTTTCTTGTTGGTGCCATCTCAACAAGTTTTGTTTTGTTTTGTCATTTTATTCAGATTACATTGAGGATTCGGTCAATTAAATATGCTCATAATCATCAAAGGGAGAAAATTGAAATGCGCCTCTTGTGGACGAATGGTGTTCCAAACCCTCTCAAACATCGGTTCATGGGTAAACATGACACACTGAATCGGAAAAATGCACCTGTGACTCCTCTGTGACTCCCTGAGGTCATCTCAGGTCATGAACGGTCACTAGAAGTTTTTTTATTTGGCTTTAACTTTTGATAGAGACGTGCTAGGGCGACGAACGCACGTCATATGTATTCAGATCGACGCTACAGATTGACTGATATGCAACATGAGCCTTTCCGGTCATATCATGACCTTGACCTGAGGTCAAATTTTCAAAATGACCTTTCAAGGTCAATGAATAGTTCACTTGACGCGTCTCGACGAGAGGAGCATAAGACTGGATTAACCTTTATTTGACTTTAGACCGTAATGCCCTTAATTTTGAATCAATTTCCTTCAAAGCTTTCAGTTTCATATAATATTTAGGCTTTTAAGTTCGCTGATCTGAGGTAATCTTAACGGCATCAGGTCATAACGGCAGGTGCTGGGGGAAGGTGGGGGAGTTCAACGCCCCCAGCCGATAACTCGAGAACCAATAGGTGCAGCGAAACTCGCGAGGTGGCAAACGAAAGAACGCGACAAGACACTTCAGATGAGTATTTTAAAATTGAATTTTGAGGTCACAGGTCGGGTCAAGGTCAGGTTAAACACCTGAAATCGGGCTTTAAGTAGCCTGGACCTCGTACTGGGTGTCTCTCGTCATAAACTCTGTCAAGACTGTGCACAATTTTTCATATACGTGCTACACAAATGTCGGATCCATGTCGGATCCAAAAATGACCAAGTTATACGCAGTATAGTAAAAATTCCACAATTATAGATTTTGAAATCCATTTTTAGTACGTTTTTGACATCGCACAGCAATATAAACAGCACCATCGTGATCCTGAACTCAAACTGCATCTGATAGGCACCTTTGTTTTAAATTTCGTTTTCAACATTTAACCTTTTTTGACCTGAAAGTGACCTGACCTCAGGTAAATTCAGCTGATAATCATCTCAAATGAAACAGACGACATTGTTTTTGAAATCTATGATTAAAATGGACCATAAAAGGTGCGCCACGTGACCGATAAATTACATAAAATTTCCGTGACCAAAGATGACCTGCTCTCGACCTGCAAAATTCAAAGTACAAGTGCGGTACCCTTAGGATATATAAGTCACATATCAAGGAGTGCGTTAACCAAAAATGAGCCTGATCGGACTCTATTGCCGGCGGCCAGAGCCTAAATCGTGAAGAAGAGCCAAAATGGTGATAATTTTTACTTTGACCTGACCTGTGACGTCAACGGTGACCTCGAGATCAATGACATTAGGTTTCATTCAACAATTTTCCAGGGCTGTCAGACGCCATTTAACCCTATTCCTGGCGGGGGGGGGGCCTCAGGAGCCCCCCCTGAGGTTTTTTGGTTATTTCTCCCAAACGCGTTGAGCTAGGAAGCTCAAATTTTCTGACTTTTCCTAAAAGGCTTCTACGCAACATGTCTGAAAATTTTGAGTTGATCTGACCTCAGGTCAGGTCACCAGAGGCGGTTTGGTGACCCTACCTCAGAAAAGTTTGCAATCACGCCAGAGCTAGAGTTTTTGACCGATCAATTTCTTCTCTTCAGGCATTAGTTAGGGTACCAGTATGTGCAATTTGTATATCTCGGAATTTTGATATCGGTGACCTAAGGTCAGGTCAGTTTCGCGACCTCCCCATTATAAGTCAATGGGGGGAAAATCAACTCCCTGTTTTTACCACTAAAACGGGTCAGAATGGCCCCATATACCATACATGACTTCATATACGATCAACCTTCACTACCTTGAGGTCTGTTTTGCTGTTGGGCAGCTGTGAGGTCATGTGACGTCATCAAAGGTCACCAAAGGGTTTTGGCCAATAACTCCGTACAGTAACAAGATACAGACGCGTGGATGGTCTCACTGTGTTCAGCTCGTCAAGACGCATCGAATGATATACATGATGACCTCGAGGTCACGTGACCTGAGGTCAACCTTTGACCTTGACCTTTCGAGGTCAACATATATATCATTCGATGTGGAATGACGAGAGGATCACGATGATGCCCTTAGTTTGTTCCTATCTTGACTAATTCGAAAGTTATTCGAGAAAAACTCTCTCCATATCTAGCGCCGCCATTTTGACCTTTTCGACCCCTGTGACGTCATCTTTGACCTGACCTGAAAATGACCTTTGTAAAAATTGTAGATCTTGACCGTGCGTATCCGATGCCATTTACCGTTTGTCGCTGCGATGTGTAGTTTTTGAGATCTGAAGGGGGGGCCGAATCGCCCCCCCCCCGCCAGTTTCTTGTCCCGGCGGAGCCCGCCAGGAATAGGGTTAAATTTTGACGATCGGCCCAGTAGTTTCGGAGATAGGAGGGGGCTCTGTAGAGCCCCTCCCCCAGTCGCGTAAAATGGGACATCGCTTGAATCTGAACCAATAAATCCAATTCTTTGTTTAGACTTGCTTATTCTGATATTGCGCCAAAAAAATACGTACGTAAAGCAGGCTGACAAAAATGTTTTCTATGACGTCACTACAGAAATGTGGCTCTGGACATCTGTCTATGATGAACCGATTATAATCGGGAATAAGTAATATTGGGCAAATTGTGTTCACGTTTTTACTGGATTCACGTTCAATCGCTAAAGCTAGCGCATAGTCGGGAAAATCCCTAGAGCCAAACCACTTTTGAATCAAAATACGAACTATAGTCCATATACTTAACTATAGTTAAGTGTATGGACTATAGATAGACTTATAGAACAGTCAATACACTTCTACAGTCCTACAGTCTGGCAAAAGTAAGAAAGACCGATTTGAATTAAAGTTTAACAGCCATTAATGCACGTGCCCTTATATTGAGTCGAATCAAGTCGAATGCATTGGAGAACATTTTCCCCGGAGTTCCCAGACGTACCTATTTTCTCCCAACTATGATTTACAGTGACAGTAGCACGTGATTCAGGGACTACCTGCGGCCGTTCGTACGTTTGCCAGATTCATGGTCCCCGGCCTTTCCCAAATATGACCCACCTTCGAGCAGCTCCTATCGCCAGCTAGCGGAGGTCGGTCAGCTGTCAGCTGGACACCAGCGCCACCTGTCGGCGACAGGACAAACCATTGGTTCATCCATTTGCCGACACACCTTTCAGCTCAATCAGTCTTTACACTATAACCATTAACAAAATGCGTAATACGGAAGAAAGTTGCTTAAACAACATTCCATTTTAATAATGCATTTTAAATCGCATATCGACAAGAAACCTCTTCGATTTTAAAACAAGTAGTCGGACAGAACAGATTATGTAGTCTGTAATTCAATGATAAACCCAGTCATCCCAGCAGGCGACTCACAGGGTCAAGTGGGTCACGTGATCCCTTGAAGTGACGTCCATTGGTCGCTGCGCTGAAGCAACGTCCCCAACTCGCGAACTTACATGCGCACATGAAATAAAAACAAGGGTGGAATCAGCATAGAAGAATTTTATGCAGACTAATATTCATAAACAGCCAGAAGCTAATGGTATGGTCATATGATAAGCAATGCTGCAGTTACTTTGAATTTATTTCCTCGTAATTGCACACGCATTTCGTACCTACCTTTGAAAGAGCTCGATTCCGCGCATTTGCCGGTGTGCTGGAACACTGCCACCACCTCGATGGCTCTAGGAGCACATGGAATAAGAAAAACGAAATCAGAATAGGAACACCCGCAAAAGATGTTACTCACAAACAGCCAGATCCTAATCGAAAGTGCATTGTTAGTGAGCAATTGTGGCTAAAGGGCGCACCGCACCAACTGCTACGGCGCGCCAATGTTACATATGTATATTAAGTGTGTAAGACAAGTGTGTCTTAATATATGGCGCCCATATATATATATATTGTATTTCTCGAACCCATTCACTCATAATTGCAGACGTATGCCATACCTGTGAGAGAGCTGGAGTTTCCGTTGGCCGCAGTTCAGTTTTGACCAGCAGATGGCGGCGGCGCACGTCCTGCCGCACATGAGCTGTGGTCTGTGGGAGAAATAACACGATGTTTGTACGATTCTCTACGACAAAGCACGATGAGAGGAGACACGTAAAAAGAATTAACTGAATTGACAGTCGGAGATAGTCTGATCAACTGAAGATTTGAAAAGGAGAGCAAAGCAACTAATCTTTATGTAGCGAGAAAAGTGAATTTCATATACATTACACATAAAAACATACAACACGTAAGGATTGTCTATTGTTAACAAAAATTATTTTAACCCGCGCCCTGCTGGTTCCCTTGTGGTTTTTCGCGAATATCTCAAAAACGGCGGCGCGGAGCGCCGCCGTTTTTGATACACCTTATCATACATCAATTCTACACATGTTGTGAAAATTTCAGACCAAGGTCATTCAAGGTCAGGTCACCAGGTCACTTGAAGTGACCTCACCTCATAAAAAGTTTCAATGTCTGTCATAGCTTCACCGAGTGACCGATCGCTTTGAAACTTTCAGCGATTGCTAAGAGCAATAGCATGTACAAAATGTATATCTCAGAATTTTTATATCGATGACCTAAGGTCAGGTCAATTTTGCGACCTCCCCATTATAAGTCAATGGGAGAAAATTGAAATGCGCCTCTTTTGGACGAAAGACATTATAAACACTCCCAAACACTGAATTACAAGTGGTTTAGACACACTGAACATTAAAACGGTGTCCGTGACCCCTGTTTATGCCCTGAGGTCATCTTAGGTCACGAATGGTATCTAACAGTTTTTCGCAAATAACTTTTGATAGAGACATGCTAGAGCGATGAAAACGCCTTAGATGTGTTCAGCTCGACGATACGGATCGACTAATATGCAACATGACCCTTTCAGGTCAGGTCATGACCTTGACCTGAGGTCAAATTTTCAAGTTGACCTTTCAAGGTCAAGTTATAGTTCATTCGATGCGTCTTGACGAGAGGAACACGATGCCGGTAAAAGTAAGCTCGTACAAGGCTTGGGTCAAAAGTTATTGCAGAAAAACTGCTTCCAAAAAAATCGGCTATTTTTGCAGTTTTTGCCCCCTGCAGGCATAACCGTTGACGTTAGCCCGCGCCCTGGTGGGGGGGGGGGCTATTTTTTGCCCCCCCTCCAGACTTTTGGATATATCTCCAGAACCGCTGCGCCGATCGTCACCAAACTTTCAGTACCCTCCCGGACATCAATTTTACACATTGTGACCAAAATTTTTTCCAAAGGGTATGATAGGTTGGCCGCAAATGACGTCAGAGTGACGTCATGTTCTGCCGTTTTCGACCCAAAAAAGGGTTTCGCGGGAAGAGCTGTCAGGCCTATAGCTTTGCAAATACAGAAAAATGATAAAGACATAAAAGCTGTAGAATCGACAGGGCTACAAAACTGCTATCTCGGATTTTTGAAATTTTTGGATTTTGACCCCCAAAAATCAAAAAACAAATTTTTTGGATATAACAATCGAAAAATCCAAAAAGTTTTTTGAATTTCGCAAAAACCGGAATATATGTGATAGTCCTTACCGCCTTCCATCCACATACCAAATTTGAGATTGATACCTCTTTTTTTGGCGAAGTTATAGCGAAAAAACTGTTCAAAATTGATGACGTCAAATTTTCAAACTCAATTTTTAGCAATTCTAGACCCCGTAGCGCAAAACAAAGACCACCATTAGACTCCCCGTGACGAGCTGCATCGAATCAATACCCATTTTATGCAAAACTATCAACTTTAAAATTTGACCTTTTTTGGACTGACCTTGACCTGACCTTGACCTGAACTTCACCAGAAAGTGGCCTAAGCCGTACCTGATAGTCTTATAACCAACACCATTGAGTTGGAAATGAAAAATTGGCCATAAAACATGCATCACACAACCTTAGTAAAGTTAGGCTCATGTGACCTGACCTGTGACCCTTGGTGACCTGACCTGTGACCTGACCTGGTATTGTCAATGACCTCTAATAGCAACATGTCTACTAGGCAACTGACGCCCTATCGCTGATTCTCGACAAAATGCGTTTTCCTCGGTGTTATAACGCATTCCCTAGAAGACCCGTGAACGGTGAAACATTTCATCTTTGACCTGACCTGTGACGTCATCGGTGACCCCGAGGTCAATGAAATTTGGTTTCCTTCGACAAATTTGACAGGCCTTTCGAACGCCGTTTGAATTTTGCGGATCCGTCCAGTAGTTTCGGAGATACGAGGGGGGGCAAAAAATAGCCCCCCCCCCCCCACCAGGTCGCGTTATAAACAGACCCCACCAGGGCGCGGGTTAGGTCAAATCTGAGAACATTACAAGAAAGGGCGTTAATAGGGCTATCGAATGCGCTTTTGCGCTGCGCTGTAGCTCTATTGGTTCCCGAGTTATGCGTTGGCTTCTTGGAAATTGTCGACATTCGACCTGGAAATCGGCGAAATTTTGCCTTCAATGACCTCTGGTGACCTGACCTTTGACCTGACCAAAAAATTGACCGAAATGATTTCCTCATTATTTTTTACGCTCTTTCGAACGCCGCCTTCCGCGTATCGCTACGTGGCCCAGGAGCCGAGTTAGAAGGGGGGGGGTGTTCAAACACCCCCCCCCAGCAGGGCGTGGAAATCCAGGACCCCCAGCCGGGCGCGGGTTAATCAAAACTGTTTTGTATTTAAAATAACCATGATATTATTAGAATAAATACGACTATGAAATAATCGCACCTTTGAGGGTGGTGACGATTCCGCAGTCTGCAATTCCGTGTTGACCGGCAAACGAAACAGCCAACAATCTTCAATGCGGCTTATATATGATTACAGATCTGTGGACAAAACGGTGCAATATAAGAATACACAAAAATGAATTAGCCCTTTTATCACAACGCGCACGAAATGTACCTAATGAAGCAAAGTGAAACCTTACCGGAATGACGAAAATCGAAATGCGAAGGTAGTGACGGAAAAATATACCTACGATTTAAATGACAACAACCGATTCAAATCGCTTAAGACTTCTTCAACTCAGTCACAAACATTAAAAAAGGCGCGCAAAGGCGTTACCCTGACGGTGCTTTCTAGTTCCTGCAACCTCAGCTTCTTGCTTCTAGGAATTTTAATAAAGTGCACTGCCCATTCTGTATGTAACGCCAGGGGACTGCCCGCTAATATAATAGTAACAAAAGACATAGCAATAAAAATGACAGTGTGCTTACCTTACGGAGTAAGTATACCAAAACTCCTTCCAGAATCAGTCACCACGCCGGGAACCGCCCTCACACGCCGAGCGCTGATAGCGAAAGCTCGCGCGCGCGGCGGACCAGCCTCGCTCCGGCCGACCGGCCACCGCCCGGGGGCAGGTCACGGCGGCAGGGGCGGCGCCAGGGAAGGAGCCGGGGAGGGCGGCGGCACTGCCGCTGACACGACCCCGCGGCAGTCGGCCCGAGGGCGGAGTCAGCTGTGACGTCGGCGTGCCTCTGGGCCTATCAGAGCGCTGAGAACGCGTCGGTGTCACTTCTAAGCATGACCTCTGAAAGATGTGTGATAACGTCTGGTTGCTATAGAGTCTATACACCGTTCTGTGCTTCTATTCTCAGGATACTGAAATCCTTCTCCTCCACGCCGCAACCCCCTCCGGGCTGGACAGGCAACTTTATCTCATGCGGGCTGCTCCCTTGGAGCGGCACCGCTGCTCCCGAGGGAGCGCACCCCGTAGCCGGGTGCAGTGAGTGCCTTGGGGCTGGGTGGCCTGTCCTCTGGACGGGTTCAGCCCCGGCGACTCACTAGGGTGCCTGCCCAGACCAATGTCTCCCCCTAATTCCTATCATCCTTCCGGCTCTGCAATGGTCTTGTCGACCGAAAGGGCCTAACCCAACAAAACAAAACAAACAAATAGAGTCTATACTGCCACCAAAACGCTTGACCAATAAGTGAATTAGTTCGATCTGGATAGAAGTGACGCTTAAATCGTAAATATAAAATGCCCATCTGATAAATGACAATCAGGCAGTCGAAAGTCTTATTTTACGGGAAGCATTTGAGTCAGATATAAGCCAAGTGCGTGGGATGTGTATACATTGTGGCATGTCGAAACTGCTGATTGCGTGTCGTGAACGATGAATAAATATATTTTCTTTTGAGTGTAATAAGGATGAACCTAAGATACTACGGCATCTGTCATACTTCACTAGATACGCAAAGGAGAAACATTGAGGCGTGAATGCGAATCGATTTGTTTGGGTTCTTAACTCAAGAGACATTTATTAAATCCCACGGCACGTTTCGGCGTCTACTCGTATTGAGCGGGTGTCCCGCGTAAACAGTAGTTTGAGAAAGGGAAGAGTTGAACGGGACGTACCAATAAGACAACAAAAATTAGCGCCAAACGACTAGGTAGATTGCTTATTCTTGATATTTCGCGTTTGGTAAGCAACGTCCAAAGTGCCAACTTATTAGTGTAACTTTTAGCTTCACAATAATCGAGTGATGTGCAGTTGTGTATGGCGGCTATCGTGATTTTTGTCCCTCTCCTGACCCATGTTTCCTGAGTTTTCCGCTATACGCATTTCTCAAAAGCTCTCTCTAATTATGTCTACTTCCAAGGCCGTCTACTTCTCTCCATCCACTCTCATCATCCCTCTCTGCTCTTTCCTCCACATCATCACAAACACGCGTAGCTCGTTTTTGGGCACCTTCATTATCACGAAGACACCGTTATGAACGACTGGGAAGCACCACGCGCGGTCTCAAGGCCGACGACCGGTCGGCGCCCGAGGCAGCCAATCAGCGTCGACGACCTTGACCGCAGCGAGGGCGGGGGGCGGGGCGACACAGAACGACGACGAGAGAGTTCACTGTCTGGCAGGGCTGCCGGCGCGTGCGACCGACGCGCCACGGCCGCGGGCACGGAACTTGGCCAGCGTGGATTCCGCCATGTCGCAGCGCTCTTCGGAGGACTCCAGTTCCTGCGAGAGGGAAGAGCCACGTTAGCGTTATGATCCACGCAGCAGACACCGAAACAGAGCGCAAAAATATATAGGTATAACGTCTGATCGCATCTGCATAACTCATCTGCGGAACGATTTATGTAGAAACACGGTGGAACTTCAATGGCCATCTAAATTATCGTGGTCCATAAATTTAGTATGTTTACAAGGTACTCTGGTATCAACACCTTATTTTATTCATACGTTTTTACATTGGCTCTTCCATCCACGACTAAAATGCCACTGCTTTTCCTTCAGACTCCGATCCAGTGACGTCATTATTGCATCCCAGTGACGTCACGCGTGGCTCACCTGCTGGCATTTGCGGTACTTGGCAAGGTTGAGCGCGGCAATCTCCTCGGCCTCCTCGATCTGCCGCTTGTAGGTCTTGATCTTCTGCTGGAGGGAGTCGACCACGTCCTGCATGCGCGTGTGATTCTTCTTGTCCTCGTCCGCCTGCAAACGACGCAGAGTGACGTCATTGTACTGATAAAGTGACGTCATCGCATGGTAGTTTTCAATGAAGCTGAGACGATACGGAAACTATAAGAGTTAACGCTTTCGTGGCACGATAAGTCATGCTCGTCTTGGAAATACCACTGAAGTACGATGCTGTTGCCAGTTTACCTCAGCAAATGATCACCATCCCGAGTTTGCATTGCCGTAGCCCCTTAGTTTTAACTCAATTAGCCCAAGTCTTTTGCAATTGAAGGCAAACGTAACATAAACCCCAGCCCGATAACTTCAAAATTTCTCAACCGATGGCCGAACCTGATTACCATGCCCGACATGATACCGCACTAAAAATCCTTCCACTTCTCTCCTCCACATGTCTCAGTCCCCAACTCGCACCACCTTTCCCTTCAATCTGACCTGGAAGAGGAGCTCCTTAATGCGCCGGTCGGCCTTGCGCAGGTTCTTGGTGGCCTCACTGTGGCGGCGCTGCTCGTGGTCCAGCTCAGACTCCAGAGAGCGCAGACGCTCCTCCAGCTTGGCAATGATCTTGCGGCCGTTCTGGGGTGGGACGGGAGGGTCAGCACCGATCACGGGGAAGACCAACTCCTAAAGATATGGATTGTGTTTAATAAAATGATTAGCTAGAAACCTCTTGCCCGAACTTGCTCTCGTCAGCCTTCATACAAATTCAACTTCTCGTATTTATCGTTTATGTCCTATATTTGTGCCGACCTTTATTTACAAACGTCGGCACACAAGAAAAAACTATAAAAACATTTTACCTTTAATGAAACACTGGGCTAAAACTCTGAATTTGATGAACCAAAGAAGTAATTGAGTGCCAAATGGCAGCCAGGATGTAATTTCACCCACCACGTTCTTCCTCGGCCTACCTTGACGGCGTTGGCCTCTGCCTCGTCGAGCCTGATCTGGAGGTCCTTGACCTGCAGCTCCATGGACTTGCGGGCCTGTTCCTGCTGCTGGGCGTTCTCCTGTTCGGCCCGCAGCTCGTCGGCCAGCCTGAGAGACGAAATGTGCGCGTGAAATTAGACAGGAACGTACGAGAGCAGCTAATCTTTAAAATAATGAAATGTCCTTACACCGAACGCTTATTGGCCTCAATGCAGCATACGACAATCGTGTTACGATGATAGATTGCTAGTTATAACGGATCGACATTTATACATTTTTAACTCAGACAATTCTCTCTTCATAAATATCGCCGTCCTCCGTACCTTTGTCACTCATATTGCTCTAGAAATCTCACCAAAGAAATATCTCGTTCACCCGCAACGATTTCATATTCTCGAGCCCATAAAATACGGCATATTTTTGTCACTCTTATGGTCCTGTCTTTTCCACGAGTCTACCACCTTTCACAGCAGGGTTCTTCCTTCTTAACTTCCCGATGACATCGGTCCTCACCTGGCGGCGTCGATCATGGCCTTCTTGGCCTTCTCCTCGGAGGTCCTGGCCTCGTTCAGCATTTCGTCCAGGTCCACGTGCAGTGACTGCACCTCCTCCTCCAGCTTACGCCGGATGGTGGACACGCTGTTGTAGTTGTTGGAGACCTCAGCCAGCTGCTGCTGAACGTCTCCCAGCTCCGTCTCCGCCTGAGGAACACGAAAAATGGTGTCAGAGGTGGGACGGAGAGGAAAATGGCCTTAAATACGTGCTGGGCATTGGAACTTGAAAGGAAGCGCCGTCATGAATATAGAAATTGACAGAAATAGATATCTTGCATGTTGACGTCTTTCAGGAATAATATATCATCTCTCTTTCATATCCTATGGCTAAAACATTTATAAAAACGCGACGCTTTTGATGTTAATTTACAAAACGTTTGTTAAACTGCGCTTGAGATCAACTGTGTAAAAAAGTCGCCACAAGACAAGTCGATGAGAGCGTCTTTGCATCTCATTCCCGTCCCTGACATTCAAAACCCTCCTCCCCACCTTCGTTAGTCTCCATCCAGCCTCGCCCCCTCTATACCCGCACTGACCTGGCGGCGGCCGCGGTCGGCCTGTTCCAGCAGTGTCCGGCTCTCCTCCACCTCTCCGTGCAGCGCGTTGGCGCGACGCTCCGAGATGGCCAGCGCCTCGCGCACCTCGGCACGCGCGCGCTCCTCCTCCTCGATCTGAGTGGTGATCTCGCGCAGCTCCATCTGCACCCGCTTGATGGTCTTCTGGCTCTCGAAGGTCTCGACGTTGGCACGCTCGACGGCCACCTCGAGCTCGTTGATGTCCGTCTCGAGCTTCTTCTTCATGCGCATGGCCTCGGCGCGGCCCTTGGCCTCGGCCTCCAGAGAGGCCTGCATCGACTCCATCTGGCGCGCGTGGTTCTTGCTGCGGGGAAGACGGAGAATGGTGGTTATGCTTTGTCACAATAGCGTTTAATCGATGCCGCGAGCGGTTATCACCGAGTAAATATTTTGATTCCATTGCTTATCCTGAAGGCCCTCATTGCGCATCCTCGATCCCTTCCTCCTTGCCGTTTGATTCAAATCATACCTAACCATTTTCCGAATTTATCGTCTCGTTGTCCTCTATACTAACACTTTGATCCGAAAAGTGATATCACTTCTCCCACCAATCTTACCTTTCGGCATATATTTCCATCTATCCCACACTTAACGAGTGTTCTCGAACTCCTAAACTCTCTAACACTCACCGAGTATTCTCGAACTCCTAAACTCTCTCCCACTCACCGAGTGTTCTCGAACTCCTCCTCCTTCTCCTGGATGCGCCGCTCGATCTCCTGTCTCGCCTGGCTGAGCTCCAGCTGACCCCTGAGCACCTTGTTCTCCTCCTGTTCCAGGGCACTCTCGGCCTCCTCCAGGGCCGCCTGCAGT